GAGAAAACAACAAGGGAGTGTTGCGAAAGAAAAGACGCGAAGGCGGGTGGGCTAATTTAGGAAGAGGAAAATTAGAGAGCGGTGGCGATGAGTAAGGACTTCCTGCGCTGCACCAAAGCAGAGCGCTACTTACAGCAATGGGCGCGTCTTTTAAATATTTTATTGCGATGACTTAACATAACAAACACTATGCTAATCTCGGCCGGGCTTCCTTCGAGAAATAAAAAAGAAAAAAAGCGGCGGCGGCGGCGTCTAAATAAACACACAGCGGCGTCTGCTTCATTGTGTTCCGGAGAGAGAAGCGGCGGCGCTTCCTTGAGTTGAGCCCCGGCAAATATTAAATCATCATTCGGACTTAGTGTCCGCCTAATTCCACCCGCACCTGATGCCCCGTTCAAATTATTAATCCCGTAATGAGGCGGCTGCTCTTCCTCTCCGCCTCTTTACTTCCTCCCCGGCGGCCCGAGACTTTGCTGCGCAGCTTTCTCTCTCTCACTCTTTTTATTCCATATTTCCATAACGACGACGATAATAATAACACTGGCTGCTCGGCTGGTGCACGCGGCCCCCTTAGAAGTATGCTGCGCCGTTAGTCGTGTCATTAATCTCGGGCCAGCTGGGAACATCCTGACACCTCGACTATAAATAACGTCGTCGGGTCCTCCTGCTCGGCTTCCCCCTGGGACTGCCGCAACCCGCCGTTCTCTCATTCTTTTTTTCTCTTTCTATCTGTTTTTTTTTTATATGGCATTGCATGATGAGAAAAAGAAAAATTCTCTCGCCAATGATGTCACACACGAGAGCCGAAAAATATACAATGGCCGCGTCCTCTCTGGAGGTTTCGAATTATGTCGCTCGCGTCATTATCCCGTGTAATGATCGGACCCTCTCGAGGGCACAAACATACAAACAAAGCGCACACCGACCTGTGCAGTGCTTCAAAAATTTATGGAATGTCTCCCCCCAGGATTTTCTTTCTAATAACTACTTACGAAAAATTCATCAAAGGGGGTGGATTCTTGGGATTGCTTCCACCCAAGAAGCTCATTATAACCCTAATCCACTTTAAAGGAACAGGGAAAATGATGTCCCAGCCCCTGAGTCTGACGTGGAATTTTGATTAAGGATTTCCAAAATGCTCAAAAGATTATTCGACGGTGGGATAATTTTTCAAGTTCAAAATAAAATATTAATTAGCATGAGTAAAAATTTTACAAAAATGTTTTGATAAAAACTATGTTTCGAGTGATTTTTAAATATGTAGAATTTTTTTAATTTATACCAGAATGTTGTTAATTGTTCAAAATCCCTAAATTAATTTGAAAAATATTATTATTTGAAAAAAAGTCATTATAAAAGTATGCAAAATCTTCTTCAATATTATAGACTGGCAATTATGATAAACCAGAAACTTTTTATTGTGTCCTAGTTTTATGACCTGATTCTCTCCAGGCCAGGTCCTTTTGCAAAAATAAGGTTGCCAAAGGGCCTCTCCCTGCGCAGTTCCGGACAAACATGTCGGTCGCTTGTCTTACGAGGGCGCTCTGCGTTTAACCTCAGTGCGAGTGATTTAATTACAGTTTTCGCAGCCGCAAACTGAAATATGAAATATCGAGTGCCGGTGCTGGTGCACGACCGCACCGGTCCGCCCGGCTTTTATTACCCAAACACCCCGGCCGGCACTTGAAACAATTAACCGCATTTATTTTGCAACATTTAAACCGGAGAATTTCCACACATATTTCTGGCTGGTGGCGCGGAAAAAAAACGAGAGAGAAGTTAAAAAATAAAAATAAAACCGACGCGCTGCTATGGTGGAAAAAGCTGCAGTAATGGATGGAGTTTGAGCTGTATTGCCGGTTGCCCGACCGCCCGGCTGGCTGGCTGGCACACATAGAGGATTAGCAGCGGCGTGTGTATTTTACGTCTGAGAGCCGCCACCCATTAAATGAAACCTGACAAGCAGCACTCGATGCAAGCGGCTGAAACACGGCACCGCGCCGAGTCGGTGCCGCTCTCCTTTTTTAATCAAATTGATCAGAATTCAATTAAATGGAGGACTAATTCTGCTCCAGCGGCTATCTCGGGTGCACTCGCATAGAAACGCGACTAGTGGGCGGCTGTTGGCTTCGATCCGAGCAGACCGAATCAGTTTAAGCTTGGATATACTTTAATGCGGCGTGCGGGAAAACTGTAAAGACACCGTTAGAGATTTATAATGTTTGAAGAATTAGTAAAAAATACTTTTTTAAACTAAAAATTAAAAATAGAATTTTTAATTTTTTTATCAATGTTGACGAGGGAAAATGGCAAGTGCATTTCATTTCAATTTGTTGTTAAGTTTAGTTTAACTGAATACTGGTGTTATCCATTTTGCATTGAATTTTATGGACCATAATTTAATAAAAAAATTACTCTCAAATTTCTAAAATCTTGTTATTTTTTCAAAAATTTAAATCTCAAGTAAAACTTACATTATTTATACTTGTTTAAGTTATTTTTTAACTTGTAATTCTTTTCAATAAATCAATTTTTAATTGATTATTCACTTTTTTATAGAAATAAATTATAAAAATTTATTTGTTATTAAATTTAAATAAGAATTATATAAATTATAAATTAAAAATTGTAATACAACGTAAGTTGTTGTTAAAATAAAAATTAAACAGTAATAATATTTATTATTTTAATTAAATTTTAATATAACATCCAATATAATTAACTTTTTCTGTAGAGATCTTGTAAACGGTAATGGTTGTTTTCGGACGTATCTGCTCTTTTGCTTGATTTGCTTGATGAAAAATCGCCGGGCCCCAGAGTGGATGCGCGACGTGTGACGCTTGTGTGATTCTTTTGTCTATGTCCCACGCACACAAGCGATCGCAGTGAGCAACAAAGAGGGTAGAAAGAAAGCTCTCCTTGAGCTCGGGACGTATTAGTGGATTGCGCCTAATGAGGCGTGCGCGGCGAGCGTTGCTGCTGGATGTGCATTAGGCGGGGATTTCCTTTCCTGCCATCACAAACATACGCACATGCAATTTTTACTTTCGGCAGGCGCCCCCATCCGACTCTGTGCGTGGCATCAATCATTCGCATCCCTTATTCAATATACACCCCCGCTGCAGAGAAAGAGGGACGCATAAAATATATATGTATGTGTGGAACTGCGGCATCAGAAACAGGAAAAATAAAAATCGCGCTGAGCAAAGTTTCGGATGGAAGAAACGAGTGAATAAACAGAATTGGCCCTTAGTTGCGAACATAGTTGTTGTGTTGTTGTTTGGGAAATGCTGGAAATATGACGACATGCAGCATATAAAAGTTAACAAAGCGTATCAACTTGTGCTCTCCTTGGATTGCATTAAAAACATCCTCTCTCCGCTTCTTTCGAGCGATCGCTATCTCTGAATTATGTGCTCGAGTTTGTTGCTGAATTTATTTATTAGCAGCCGCCGGAGCTGCTAGCTTTAGTCCCTGTACATATATTTGCAGCCAACGCCGGCAGCGCTGCGACTATATCTATTTAGACGCCATTAAAGCCGTTTAGATTGGCAGAATCGACGCTCAACAATTTCAGAGAGGAAAAATTACATGGCGCGCTCTTGATTGTTGATAAGCGAGCAAGCTACTTTACCACAGGCTTGGTAACAAAAATGAACACGTTGGAAAATATTTTCTGAACCGATTATTATTTTTGAAACGGTATCAACTTTTGCATATTATATTAACTTTTTTTTGGCAATAGTTGAATTTTAAACATCCATTCAAAGTAGATATTGCTCTGAATTATTTTTTAATATTTAAATTCAGGCTCTCATTTTAGACATGATTAACCTATTCATCTTATTATGCAGATAATCAAAAGCCACACACCTGTTCCCAATGCAATACTTATTAAAGTGAATTAATTTAGACCAACAAACACCTAAGAAAATTTATTTATTTTATATAATAATCGAATTTTTTTTAGAAATCATAGGTAAGAAATTCACTCAATTTTTTAAAACTTAAAAAATATAAAATAATTCTAAATAATTAAATCAAATTGAATATAAATAAAATATTGCGCAGTTATTCAATATAAATATAATATATTTAATTTAAAAAAACATTTACAACGTTTTAAATTAATACTTAACATTAATTGCTACTTCTAACATTAAAAGTAGATATTTATTTCTACTTTGATTTCGTTTTAAATTTTTATTTTTCTTCTTTTCGTCATCCTTATGACTCTTTTTTGCGAACAGTGAGGTGCGGCCGTGCAAAATCAGATTGAGGCGCAGCCCTTTTATGCGATGACAAATGCAATATGAATGGCTGACGAGATTCCCTCCGTCGCATTTAAAAGTCAAATCGCCGATTTGCATATCGCGCACGCATATCACTCGGCTCTTCATTTCTCTCTTCTTTATATTTCTTTGCTCTCGCGAGTGCATCTCTCCGGCTGGATGGCCATTTGACGTCGGCCCGACAAAAAACGAACCCTCTCGCCCCTCAAAGTCTCAGGGGAGCGGCGTTAATTCTGAGTAAGCGGCCCGCGGGCTGTTTATTTAGCTGAGCGAGAGGCCGGCACGTAGAAATGTATCAAAATTACATCAACAATTAAGCCGAGTCATCTCATCTTTGAGAGATGAGTCTCGTCTTTCTTCGGTGCTCCATCCCTCGCCATTCAGCCGCGATTACCAAGCACTTTTTTCTTTTTAAAAAGGCCACGTGACCCGTTGGGTCTTTTTATGATTCAATTATCCCTTTCAAGATGGGATGAATTTCGACTCTTCGGATTACAAAAAAAAAAAAATGCATTATTGAAAAAAAAAATGAATTTCTTTAGAAGAAGCCCTCGAGAAAATTTATACGCCCTCGAATTCCCAGAATTCACTTGCACATCCCAAGGGCGGCTCGCAAGGGTTTCAAGTTAGGCCGCCCGCTGCGCGCGTCTACCGAGCCGGTTGCCTACTTGCGACTTAATTGGTGCCTCGTGCGGGCACGGTACTCACCGTTAAATGCTGGAACAGCCACGCTCTCAGGATATTGGTTGCTACTTTGGGGAAAATGCCTCTTTTCTTTTGATTCTTCTTGCCTCCTGTATCGTCGTCCTCCTCGCCCGTGCCCTCGCCGCTGCCGATACTCGCGTTACTCGCGTCGCCCGGCGACATTACTGCAACAGAGACGGAAAAAAATTAATATGTGTAAAATTTAAAAGTCCAAATATAACATTAATTAAAGTGGCAGTAATTAACTTAATAACTAGAACACTTTAAAAATGATTTTTGATGACAAGAATCGACAATTTTTCCCAAAATAACAACCATATTTTTCCTCGGTGCATTTATTTAAAACAAACTGGCCTTCCTTTTTAATTAAAACTCGCTTTCTGGGTCTGTCGGGCCCGAGTGGGGCGTGGCGTAATGAAATTAGCGCGGGGGTCGGGGGCCGCTGCAAATGGCGCAATTTGACAACAATGCTCTTTGCGGGTGACTTAATGGGGTAAATGCGTTCTCGTCGTCGTTTGGGGAATATTCGCGCGCGCTCTGCATTATGATAGCGAGAGCGGAGTGCGAGAGGGATGCTGAAAATTGAGTCACATACATAACAGTGTCATATAGCAGGGTAAAAATGAGAGAGAAAACGCGCGCGCCGGGTGAGCGAGCGAGCGAGCGAGAGATGAAAATCGGATTAGCTGCTGCTGCTGTTGGCTTTTTTAGCTGAATAAAAGGGGTTGGGGTGGATGTGTTGTTGTGTTGTAGTGAGTGTGTGATTACGTATGCATGCATGCAACGAGCCGGCGAGTGAGTATAGAGACATTGTAATCTATTGTTATTATCAAACAGCCCCCAAGTCCTGCCAGCACTGCAGTTTAAATTCTTATTTTTCCATCGCACATGATCCACATTAGAGCGTGTGACGCTGTTTGTTCATTCGCATTCATGGGCCACCTTAATCCGGCTTGATTACCGCCCGGCTAAACGCCAACAGCGTTAATACTCTTGCGCAGCTTTTGTTCTCTGCTGATTGTGTGCGATAATTTCCTGAGCAAACTATTATATTATTTAAATCACACTTCATTTAAAAATTCAGAAACTTAAGAATTCTAGGATGTTTTGTGGTTTTTATTTCAATATTAATTCTTAAGTTTTTTATGTATCTACTATGGATAGCTAAAATGCTTTAGTAATTGAAATAGAAATAATTATATTTAATTGATTTTATAAAATTAAATTAAAAAAGAAGTCTTAATTTTTTTATTTCTAATATTTTTATATTATTATGTTTTACTTTCAGGTTAACATGCAGAACATAGAAACAAAGTCCTATTTTCCTAATGAGCACCTCGAAAATTTTGGTTAACTCTTCACACGGCGCGAGTTAATGACTTGTGTTGAACTATACAAAATATACTAGCAACTTGCCAGCAGAATATATATTAGAAACACGATCTGAACTCGTTAAAATATTTTGAAATGTGCTGTAAATTGATATGCGCAGCCTGGGTGGAATAATTGGCTCGCCTTTCCAGCAGCAAATCAACACACCACTATGGGCATCTTGGAACTTTCAGCCAATTTTATATAAATTTTTTCCTTTTTTTCTATATTTATTTTTTCTTCACGACTCTCGAGAGTGTTTTCTGCTGTTCGATTCAATTTGAGTCGTTTTTAATCCGTACACATTTTTCTCTCCGCGAATCGCGCAGACCAGATTATTTAATGCTAATTAGGGCGACGGCCGGCGGTGTGTTTGTGCTAATTGGCAATGAGAGATCGATCATTGCACTGCCTTTGTGTATAAAAAAGCAAATCTCTACACATCGAGAAGTGAACAAAAAAGAAGTCTACGAGCCCACGCACGCACTTTATGTGGCAGAGAGAGAATAATAACATTGCGGGCGCTAAGTGCGCGACGGCGGCGTAAGTGAGCGAGTCCATAAAATAATTCTCGGCGCGCATTATCGAATTCGCGCGAGTGCAAATGTGAAAACCGTGTCTGCTGATACCGAGGAGAAAAAAGCCGTCGGACGGCGTTACGGCAGATTGATTTCACTCGGCCCGCGCACCTATTGAAAACACACAAAAGTAATTAAAATTAGCATAAATTTCAATGATATTGCTGCTCCCTTTCTTTGTGCCGGTAATGATGATAATAATACCGATCGGCCAGACGCGAAAAAAAACTGGCTCGGTCGCTCGTTCTTTCTCTTTATTTACACGCACGATTTGAGCTGAAAATTACCGAGTCATGCAGCAATAATAATAATAAAGAGCTGGAATCCTGGCTCGGCTTCTTTTTCGAGCATAAGATGAGAAACAGCTCGCAGCCATAATACAACATCGAAGCCATTCTGGCGGCGCGCATTATCTGATCGAACGTTGTTCAATCGTCAATCCGCAGCTGCGGCTCCGAAATTACCTGCTGGCCGCGCACAAATTAAAAATGGTCGGTCGGTTGGCCCCAACACTCCCACCTTCGTTGGCCCTTAAAAGGTTCAAATATAATATCGGATGGAGGCTGCGTGGCAGGCGTGGGTGCAGCCACTCTCCTCCTTGCTCTTAATTCATCCCAAAGGCGAGAGAGAAAAAAAAACGCGCCGGCGAGATGCAAAAGAGCGTCGGAAATTTGCGAGTGCCGATAAAACAAAAGCCGTTGTGCTGAAATATATTGGCAGCAGACACAATTCGATGGAATGAGATGCCATTAGGCACTCGTTAATGCCGATTGCTTTGCCTTAGCCCCGGGGACGATCGAGAGCGCGGCGGCGTCATTTGAAAGGGAAAATAATTTCAAGCTTTTAATCTCGGCGTGTGAGACGTGACTGTTTAAAATTTACACCGTGGAATTTAATAAATAGCGAAGACCAGGATTCGTTCATATAAATATATGCTTATAGAAAGTGTAATTTTAAGAGTTTAAAATATCTCCCAGCATATTCAACATTCAATTCACTAATTTTAATAATGAATTTTTTATGAATTATTAAAATACTCCTGATCAAAGGCATAAGAAAGATACCAATTCAGTTCACTGAATATTGAAAAATTGTAACACTGAAGCCCGACAATGGAATTAATAAAGTTTTTAAATATTTAAATTGTTTTAAAATCTTAATATCAATTAATTAGGAAATAAATCTAAAAACCTAATAAATTTTTATTAGGAAACTGAAATTAATTTGATAATTAAATGAAATAGATGTGCAATAATATGAAATATGTGTAAATTGTTTTTTAGCCATATTAATATTAATTTTTTATTTAATTTTCTTTAGCTAGTTTTTGCTTTGGGATTGCAATGTGAAAATTTGTTATGAAATAAAGCTTTTTCTCTTGGCTTACCCTACCATGAAAAATTAACCGGCGAAACCAAACAACAACAATCAAATTGAGGCAAATTATCTAAATTACGATGCACTTCTCCGGCACGGTACGACCTGGCGGGAATATGTATAATTTGAAAATTGATTTCACCTTCAACCCGTGGAAGAAAAAGCTGCGCCATCGCTGAGCACGACACGACCACAATATTATTTGAATACACACGATTACATTATTAAAAGCAGCCGCGTAAACTCGCATTAAAATGCGGGTGCACGCGAATCGGAGCGGTGCAGAAACGGCGGAGAGACACCCCTAGCTGCTCGTGTGCATCACGACTCGAACATATAATATGTCGGCGCGAGGTCACGCAAGGAGTATCGAGATAAGTGCAGCCAATTTTCGTCGTAAAATGATCGTCGGCCAATGAGGGAACAACGTGAGTTAAACAAATCAAATTGTGGCGAGAAAGAAAAAGCTAGTCTGCTATTTTATCAGAGAGGGCCATCTTAACATAGTATTATAATTCGGAGCTGCTGCTGCTGGATCAAAAAATTATATCGGAAAGAAACCGGCGGCTGCTGCATACGAAATGGGAGCATTAAAAAATTAACATTTCATTATAATATCGGCAATAGGCGCAGGTACCCCTCGGCACGGCCGCGGCATTAAATATTAAAATAAGATCAAAGATTACGCGGCGAGCATTGGACCACCTTTTTTAAAATGGCTGGCCCGGGCCCGGGGCGATCCACCGCGGCTAAATGTCAAAAATGAGCTTCGGCATCAATCATCGCCGGTGGATTTTTTTTTTCATATTTATACGCGGACGAAAATTTCACCGCCCTTTAAAATCGAGAAGTCGTGGGAAAGTGAGTGAAAATGATCTTGATTTTTGCAATCTCTGGGTCGTAAAAAAAACTGAAAAGACGAACGCCCTCGTGTCGAAACCAAATTACTTTTTAAGTAGGTTTCTCGCAGGAAAACTTTTATGACTCATGATTCGCGCACTCGCCAGACGCGAAATAAGCTTTTTAATGTCGGCGGATTGAAATCGCGAGGCCGTAATTGACATCAACTAGCAATAAAATTTTAATACAATTCGGCGAGAGCGAGAGAGAGACGCGGGCGAGAATTGAATAAAATATTCAAAAGAGAAGCGAGAGAGCAATAAACCCTCTCCTTTCGGGGAGAATTAACAATGTAAATTGTGCACCGGCAGCCGCTTGGTTATTTATGGTCGTGTACCGCGGCGGTAATGATGTTTGATTTGCAGATTTGGCTCCTTTTCCCAAACCAGATTAATATAAAAGCGGAGCAGCGCATCACCTGAGTTGTAAATTACGTTGGAGTAGCAGCGAGAACGAGAGAGAGAAAAAAAAACAGAGAGGGCCTTTTTATGATGGGGCCGGTCATTTTTATCGCCCACCGGGCACGCCAGGAATTTTGACGACTCTCAGCCTCGCCACTCTTGATCCGAATCTCGGCACGTTATCAATTCTCTTGATGATTCTCTGGTCGGGCTGCGCCGCCGTGGCGGAAAAAGAGCAATGCACTTGTTTATTTGATAGTCTATTTTGACTTTTGGTAAACATTTGAAATTGGTGTTTAAATCTTTCGGCGCGGCCGTGTGTTGCTTGCAGCGCTGCTTGGAGTTTCAGCGCCCGCCGAGTGTAAACAAGGGCTGTAAAAATTCTTTTAACACCTCCATGTTGACTAATGTGCTCGCGGGAGAGATTCGTCCAGCAGCACCTCGTTTCGCTTGTAACAATCCCAACTCGCACGCGCCATCGACCAACGAGCCAGAGATTAATGGAAATAAAATTTCGAGTGGATAAATAAATTTCAA